TACGATCCAGAAAAGGCCAGGCCAATAAAGAACTGTGGAGCAGACGAAAGAATCAAGTACTTAGGGAAAAGGGACAAGAGTATGTTAGCCAAACGAAAAGAAGTATGAATGCTCGTAAAATGGGTCCTCGATGTGATTCAAAAACGTGTGCCAGGAGTAAATTAAGAAAATGTAATTTATTAAATGATGAAGATCGAAAACTATTATTCAGCTATTTTTGGAACGAACTTGACTGGAATGGAAGAAAAGCTTACATAAAAACACTTATATCGTGCATATCTGTAGTCCAAAAAACAACAAAAAAAAAAAAACGAGGAGAAGATTTACCCTAGGATATTCAGTTAAGGTAAATGAGGATTTTCTGCCAGTTTGCAAAAAAATGTTTCTCTCCACTTTCAATATAAAGGAATGGTCAGTGCGGTCCTGGGTTACAAGTAAAAAGATTATTGGAGAAGTTAATATTTCCAACAATGAAGTTGAATCCGAAAAAGAGATTAGTAAGACAAACAAAAATTCAGCCAAAACTGACTCAGCTAGAACATTTTTATTGCAACTTCCCAAAATGCCGTCCCACTATGCCCGAAGTTCTTCAAGCAAATCCTATCTCGAACCACTCTACCAATCTTACGCCGATCTTTATCGGGTATATATAACGTACTGTAAGGAAAATGATATTAAAGAAGTCTTAGGTAATGGGAGATTTAGAATGTTATTTCAAGAAATGAATCTGGGGCTGTTTCAGCCAAAAAAAGATCAATGCGATCTATGTGTATCTCAAAAATTAAATGCAGTTTCATTAGATATTTATGAAAAGCATATTGCTCAAAAAGATCGAGCTCGGGCGGAAAAAGTTCAAGACAAAGTAGAAGCTCTTAATGGAAAGTTTACTCTTTTAACTGCAGATGTTCAATCAATTCAACTAGTACCTTTCACTCCTGCTAGTAGTATTTATTTCAAACAAAAACTTGTTTGCAGAAATTATACGATTTGCAATCTTGTAACCAAAAAAGTGGTATGTTATGTTTGGCATGAGTGTAATGGAGGCTCAGAAGCAAACAATTTTGCGTCATGTTTATTAGATTTTTTAGATAAAGAATTGTCTGATCAAGAAAGACAGGAAGTTATCTTATTCACCGATGGATGCAATGCTCAGAACAGAAATACGATATTGGCAAATGCATTGCAATATTACGTTAATACAAAGAATGTTCTAATTACCCAGAAATTTCTTGTTAAAGGTCACACTCAAATGGAGTGTGACAGCGTTCACGCTACCATAGAGCGAAGAAAGAAAAATAGAGAGTTGTACGCTCCAGCTAATTTTGTTGAATTAATCAAGCAGTCCAGAATTGGTTCTCCAGGTCCATATAATGTTAAATACGTAGATTACAATTTTTTTATAAACTATTCGGACATTTCTTATTATAACTCTATTCGTCCAGGGAAAAAAGCTGGAGATCCTGTGGTAAATGATATTCGCGCTCTAAGGTATAGTGCAGAAAATGACCTTCAATATAAAACTGATTTTAATGCGGATTGGCAAGCTCTGCCACAACGCAAAAATAAATCGAATGGCCTGCCTAAACCCTTGTATTCGGCGCCACAACCTATTAGTAAGTCAAAATATGATAGTCTTCAATCTCTTAAGCCAATAATCCTAAAGGATTACCATGCGTTCTATGACGCCTTACCTCATACCACTAATTAAAATGCCAATGGGTTAATGTTTCTATGTAATGTAATAAGTTTGGACGAAAGAGTTTTTAAGTTTATTTTTTTTTTAAATATATTATTAAATTTAAATTACTAAAAATACTGTTTTAATTACAAAATTAATTTTCTGTACGTTGTGACTTTATTTCAAAAATAAAAGATTATTCTTTTAATTATTGGTCTTTTTGTTTCAAAATAGTAGACCTCGTATCTCACAAAAAAAACAAAATGAATAGTCTATTCCTCGCATCTTTACCTCAAACCCTATATAATCTAAAACTTTTTTCTTTTTTAAATTTTTTCTTACGTTGAACCTTCTTTTAGGACCTTATTAAATACCCCATCAAAATAAAACTTTCAAAGCCTTATCAATTTATAAAAAAATAGTTTTTTGCTTCTACTGTAAAAATTACTATTTTGAGATACGAGGTTAAGCAAGAATAGCGACGATATGTTGTCTTATTTGTGAAGCTGAAAAATATTCTGATGGGATATGTAATTTAAAAGAAATATATTTTAAAAATCGATTTTGCACTCTCTCTAAGGCCGTTATATGGTTTTGATACATTGGACACCAAACAACTGCTGCATATTCAAGAATTGGTCGAACTAGGGTGAGATATAAATATTTTAAAGTATTCAAGTTGGTGAATTCGTTTGTATGCCTACGAATAAATCATATTATCTTAAATCCTCTATTTTGAATATATTCATAATGTTTTCTAAAGTCCATCAATGATCACCCCTAGATCCCGAACACTGTCTACTTTTTCTAAAAGAATTTCCCCAATATTTAAATGTGTTCTTTGCGTTACTTTTCATTTTAACGCTCTCTAGCGGGATAAAAAACTGTTACGTATTGTAAAGTGTGACACTTCAATTGAAACCTAATTTTATTAGTTATTTAATGCACTACATAATAGTGTGTTACCTAAATCAAAAATCTGATGTGTCCAACACATGACTTTCCTATCTAGTTATTATAGGCTTTTTCCGGTTATTTTGTACAACCTATTGCAGCATCTCTATAAATGTTTAGAGGATAAACTAAATATATACATTGTCCACATACATCTACCTCGAAACATATTTCCATTACGGTCCATTTTAGAAAAATCATGTATAAACAAAAATTATAGAGATCGATATCGCAAACAACTTTAAGTTCAACAATTTTCATAAAAATCAGAATTTTGCACATTTTGTCAAATTTCTCGAACACGGACCATTTCAGGAAATTTTGACTTAAAACAAAAATTATAGATAATAATATTAGAAGTAACTTTTATTAGAACAATTTTCTTCTCCAAACATCAATAACAGATATATTCCATAAAATATAAAAACGGCCTCCCATAAAGTACCCCTAGATGTTCCGACTTTGTCCAAAATCTAATCATTTCACGTCAGGCCGAAATAAACCTTAAGTTTAAAATTTAATGTTTTTTTCTTTATCCGTTTTTGAGTTTTCTTCAAAAATCGAAATTTACAATTTTCTCAAATATCTCGAATACGGTCCATTTTAGAGAAATTATGTATAGAATAAAAATTATAGAGAATTATATTACAAACAACTTTTATTTGAACAATTTTTATAAAAAAATATTTTTTTTACATTTTGTCAAATTTCTCGAATACGGCCCATTTTAGGAAAATTTTGTATAGAACAAAAATTATAGATAATTATATTAGAAGTAACTTTTATTTGACGAATTTTCTTCTCCAAACGTAAATAACAGATATATACCATAAAATATAAAAATGACCACCTATAAAGTACCCCCCCAGATGTTCCGACTTTGCCCAAAATCTAATCAGTTCATTAGACGCTGGAATAAAGTATCGGTTCATGAGTTATGCGACCTACACACACACACACACACGCGCACACGCACACGCACACGCACACGCACACGCACACACACACACACACACACACACACACACACATCATCGCGAAAATAGTCAAAACGGATTCAGGGGACCTCAAAACGTAAAAATCCGTCGAAAACTCGAGGTCGAAAAAAATCATGATTCCTATACTTTCCTTATATCTGTAAGTAAAAATGAATTAAAAAAAAAAAGATTGCATTACCTACTAACTTTATTTTGTTGCAAATGCAAATGGAGATATTTAGGTTAATATATGGTACATTGGATTACTAAAAAAATTAGCTTTCAAATGAAAAATTACACTTTACAATATGTAACAGTTTTTTATCCCGCTAGAGGGAGTTAAAATGAAAAGTACTGCAATGAACAATCAGGCAATAAATAGTCACCCAATGAACAATCATATTGCTGAATTCCCCATTTAATTACCTTTTCAGTGATGTGTCATACACATACTTTCCCTTTTTAAATTGTACTGGTGAGAAGGACGGAAGAGAGAGAATGACATATGACAGTTGAGGATATTATAGAAAGGTGCCTTCCTTTGAAATAAAAATCGACTTGATTTCGCGATCTACTTAAAGATATTTTGAATTGCGACCGGTATCCACCCTTAATGAATCACCTTATACAATACCAGTTGAAGAGAATAGCTCTTCACTAGCCACACTACTTTGTGGAGTAGGTGCTAAGTATATTATTGCAAATTTATATTTATAATAGTACAAAAATGTATGATTTGTGTGCCCACCAAATCAAAAGATCTTCACTTTTGATATTTTCTTAATTTAATGTACATTATAAGGTCACCTTCAGTTTTATTTATCATATCAGTATTGGTCTTGTTCGTATATGGTGGTGATTTACTTGCTGTCACACTGGCAAGTTCTTTAAAGGTATTTCAAAAGAAACTTTGAGAAATCGAGTCAGAGACATTGTCCTGGACCTCTTGGTTTACCTGATTTGATTACTTAACAAATTTTGCTAAAGAGGCATAATCAGTCAATTTCTTTTAAGTTTTATAGCAAAAAATTTATAATTAAAATTTATTACCGATATGATATAATATAATATCACTAATATCAGCCACAAAAAAAAAAACATATCATTCGATCCCTAGCCATGAGTAAAAAACTAGTGAAAAGAATTTCTTCCACTTTTATAAAAAATATTCGAAAAAGAATCACATGCTTTTAACACAACATATCAAAATGATATTTTTATTTTTCTGTTACAATATTATTGAAAAACAAACCCTACAAAAGCTTTTTTTTGTCTTAATGTGGCCATAAGTAGTGCCATGACGGTTTTAATTTTTTATAACAATTATGCAATCAATAATTCTTATTATATAATACAGGATTATACTGATAGTGACTTGAGGTTAAACATACCTGCAAATGAAGCTGCTCACCAGCTAAATGGGGTAAAACTATTTCTTTATATATTTCTGGCGTTTCATCAACCATGTAACATTTCTGAGCAGAAAATTTGACAATATGTTTTTCAGTTGCTGGATGTATAACAGTAGTTTTTATCACTAGAAAAAAATAATACAGGTTATAAGCAAAAAAAAAAACATTAACAAAATCAGTAAACAATTGTATATTGGAAAAGGAATAGCTGATTACCAATATTTTTAAATACCAATCGTATCAATTGAACCTCCTTACTTAATTATGGTTTACAAGTTCTTAAAACCATTACTAAGTAAATAATCAAAACCTAAAATCGAATTCACTAAATAGTATAAAACGTTAAATATAAGGAGTCTAAAAGCTAATAAAGAGTATATCTCACACACGAAGGGACATCTACAGCAAACGTAGTGTCTGATTTTATATGCTACTGCTAATGCACTGCCAGGTATTACAAGGTATATTTTAGATACTGCAAATATTAGTTAGGAATTAAAGAGTTAACAAGTATGATCCCACTGTTAAGTAATAAAGAGGAAGGTCTCTCAATCAGCAAAAAAGAGACATCTACTGCATAATAGAAGTAGTGCCCGGTTTTATATGCTACTTCTAATGCACTGCCAGGTAATAACAAGGTATATCTAAGATACTACCAATCAGAGAGGATTTTGGAAGGGGGCGTGTGGGACTCGCGCCCTCTCTTAGTGCCTTCCTAAATAGAGGAAAGAAACATTCTGTCTAAATGTTCAAGTATTTTTTAGTCTTTATATAAAACAAAATGATATATTTAGTTCATAACTAGTATGTACCTCTATAAACTAAAAACGTGGGTGGACTGCAAAAAACGGTTATTTACCTTACATAAAAGGTTGAATTTATCAATATAAAAGATTTAAAACTGGCTGTGATTCCCCGCCAAGGGTAACCTTGTATTTTAGTTTACTTGCATGTGTGGCAAGGCCAGTGCTGCTTGCTACTAGTACAGTGGGCAGGATCTGTTGAAGTTCTCAGCTGGAATAAGGAAGGCACAGTCGTTTTGTAGATATTTATTCGAAGTAAAATATATAATAGACTTATGTATGTCGATTCTGACAAAACTCAAAACTTATAGTTCACAACAATAACTATTTTCTAAAACTATATACTTGATAACTTTATTTAACACTATTAAGGTAACTTCAATACTTTCCCTTGTTAGATAAAGTTATAAAAACATTCAATGTAGTCCCATAAGTTTTCTCAATTCCTCTAATCGTAGTTTCTGTAAGGGTTTCGTCATAATGTCCGCGACTTGCTCTTGCGTTGCTATTTGCCGAATTCCCAATTTGCCTTCCATGACTTTTTCTCTGACAAAAAAGTGCTTGACATTTATGTGCTTTGTTCTGTTGTGGAATTCAGGATTCTGTGCCAATTTGACTGCTGCTGAATTGTCCACTTGAAGTATGGGAACTTGTCTTAATTTGGCAATAGACGAAAATAGATTTGTCAACCAAATTATTTCTTTGGTTGCTTCAGTTGCTGCGATGATTTCCGCTTCTGTAGTCGAAGTAGCTACTACTGGCTGTCTTCTGCTAATCCATGATATTGCTCCACCTGCATATGAAACAACAACTCCAGAAGTAGATCGTCCAGTGCTAATACATCCTGCAAAATCTGAATCACTATAACAATTTAAAATTCCTTTGTTAAGATTTGATTGATATACTATTCCTAAATCGAGGGTCCCTGCAATGTATCTAAAAACTCTTTTGACACTTAAAATATCTTCACTTGTAGGATTTTCTAAAGACCTTGATAAGAATCCCACACTGTAGGCTATATCTGGTCTTGTTCCAAGCATTAGGTACATAAAGGCTCCTATAGCTTGTCTGTAGGGATATTCTCTCTTTTCGTGATCTTTCCCTGATTTTAAATTTCCTGTCTTGATCATAGGTGTGGATACTGGTCTGCAAGCTGAAAAATTGAAACGCTCAAGGATCTTCTTTGCATAAGCCTTCTGATTAATTTTTATGCCTCCTTCTTCCTTTTCAATTTCTAATCCTAGAAAATAGACTGCAGACTTTGTAGTAATTTTGAATTCTGTTCTTAATTCTTCCAAAAAATCTTCTAGTTCTTGAATTTCACTTGATATCACTAAGCCGTCATCAACATAAAGAGCTAATATAAGCTTCTTGTTATTTCTGACTCTTTGATACAAGCATGGATCCGCTTCACTGACTCTAAATCCTAAATTTTGTAAGAAGCTACCGAATCGTCTGTTCCAGCATCTTGGAGCTTGCTTTAATCCATACAAACTTCTTTTCAGTTTACACACTTTGTTTGTATCATTTATGAAACCTTCTGGCTGTTTCATGTAGATTACTTCATCCAGTTCTCCATATAAAAAGGCAGTCGAAACATCAAACTGAATAAGATTCATATTTTCGCTTGCCGCAATACTTATAATAGATCTTATTGTACTTAATTTAGCTACAGGGCTAAATGTTTGACTATAGTCAACACCAGGCCTTTGTTCGTAGCCTTTGATGACTAATCTGGCCTTGTATTTTTCAATACTACCATCAGGGTTTATTTTGACTTTGAAAACCCACTTACATGGCAAAGCCTTAGCTCCTTCGGGTAGGGAAGCCAACTCCCATGTTTGGTTTTCAATCAATGACGCCAGCTCGCTCTGCATAGCCTCTTGCCACTTGTTGCTTTGCTGACTACCCACTGCTTCTGTATACGTTTCTGGAGTTTTGACAGTGTTAATTAAATCTTCTGCTATCATTAAGTAATCTTCATATCTTACTGGTTTTAATATTTTTGATCGATCTCTAAGGTTATAAGTTTCTTCATTGTTTTCTAGCTCTTCTTCGTATTCGCTATCTTCAGTTTCAAAATCTAAATTTCTTTCTTCAGAATTTTCTTCCGTGTCCTCTTCTACTTCACTATCTTTGACATTATTTTCTTCGCTCTTACTTTCAGGCTGATAATCTCTTAGGGTTAGTTTAATGGGCTCAATACAGTCTCCTAACTTCTCTTGAAACTGCACATTTCTAGACAGAATTACTTTGTGACTTTCTTTCACCCAAATTCTGTACCTTTCGTCTCCGTCATAACCCACGAGATATCCCTTAATAGCTTTCGTATCCATTTTTCTTCTTCTTTGGTTTGGAACGTGTGCATAACAGGTAGAGCCTATTATTCGCAAATGCTTTATTCTTGGTTTCCTACCCAACCAAAGTTCATATGGAGTTTTGTCGTCTACTGATGACTTAGCAGTTCTGTTGAGGATGTAGATAGCTGAACTAACCAGTTCTGCCCAAATCGCTTCAGGAAATACTACCGCTGAATTTGAGTACTTAAAAGTTCTAGCCATTTCTATAACAGTACGGTTTTCTCTTTCACTATGGCCATTCTGCTCAGGAGTATAGGGTGCTGTTAACCTCTGAATTATTCCGTGCGTAGAAAGAATGTCTCTAAAGTCTGTATTATCAAACTCTCCTCCGTTATCGGTTAATATTTCTTGTATAAGGTGACCATATGCTTCTGCATGTTTGACTAGATTCTCCAAGCAATACTTCACGTCTGATTTTTCCCTTACAAAGTAACCAAAGCGAAATTTTGTGAAGGTATCTTTAAATAGAACTAAATATTTCTTTTTCTGAAAAGACTCTGCAAATGGTCCACAAACATCTGCGGTTATTAACTGACCTGGTTTGGTGGCTTTTGTTCTAGTACCAAACGGGAGGCGGTGCATTTTTCCATATATACACGGCTCACAAAGTTCACTGTTTAGCTTAACATTGAACCCCAGCTCTTTTTCAAGTAAATTTCTTATGTGGCGTTTATCTTGATGCCCCCACCTCTCATGAAAGAGTTGCAACAGTGAACTATCTGATACTATTGCATTTACTTCTGATCTAATTGGCTTTAAATCTGCTTTGTAGAGTGCACCATTTAAATCTCTATATCCACATAATATTTCTTTATTGTCAACTGTTAAGGAACACTTTGTCGCTGTAGACTTAAACTCACTGTTTGTGTTGTTATCTTGGGCTGATAAAATGGATATTAGATTTTTGGTCATATTAGGAACGTACCAGACATCTTTTAGCAGTATTTCTTGATTAATATTATTTACTTTTGCTAAAACTCTTATGGTACCTTTTCCTTCTGCATTTAGGCATTCTTTCCCAGCTGTTCTCATGATATTGGGTGATTCAAATTGTTCATAAGTTCTAAAATAATCATAACAATTTGTTACATGCCTAGTTGCACCGTTATCTATCCACCAATTTATGGAGTCTTTCTCAACTACATTCAGCTCATTGCTCATGAACATTAAAGCTACCATACTAGTTGTAGCTATACTGTTCTGAAAGCTGCTTGGCCCTTTATTTTTTGCCGGTCTTCCATCACCTATCCATTTCTTGCAATGCTTTACCCAGTGACCTTTTTCTTTACAATAGTTACAGTTATCATTCTTCTTAGAACTTTGCTTTTTATTTTTCTTAGTTTGATATTCTTTTTCTGATCTTGCTACTAATGCTTCTTGTACAGATTTTTCTGAGTTTATAACCTTCATGAAATTCCTTTCATGCATACAAAGCTGCATTGTTAATTCTTCAAAGGTTTTATCAGCATCTTTGGTCAATAATAACCAACCAGATTTGAAGTTTTCGAAATTAGTTGGCAAAATATGGAGAACCTTACACATTAACATTAAATCTGGAAGTTGAGCAATGTTTTTAATTTTAAGACCATTATTTAACTCATTCCATAAACTTCTTAGTTTTGCTATATGAGTAGAAACATCATCACCTGGATTCCAACAAAAAGCAAAAAACTCTGTACATATTTGAAATAACTGATCTTGTGATGTGGCTTCAAATTGGAGTTTTAATGCTTGCCATACATCATGAGCTGTTTCTTTGTCCATTACTTTTTGGTATACCACGTCTGTCATCGCTGTCGTCATCATTGTCTTAGCATAACTATTTGCCTTACGGTAAAGATCAGTATTTTCTTTATGTTGTTTGATCTGCTCTGCCGTAGCTCCTGCTCCTAAAGCCTTATTGGGATTCTTTAGTATGCCATCAATGACTTCCAGGGCTCCTTCATGATAGTCCAGTAGGTC